CACACACCACAACACACACACACACAACACACACACACAACACACACACACACACACACATGGTCATATAGAAAGAAGTTGCGTGGATAACATTACGTTCGTCGTGTGTCGTTTCCCACTAGACCCCCCATACTATAGTACTTAAGCGTTTTGTGTATTTTCTAATCCGAACCCCTTAAGGTTTAGTACGTAATGCAGGGGAATGGTTATGAGTGCTTCCGTGTATGTTTCCTATGTAAAAAACGTTGTAACCCCCAGCCCAATCGGCGTCCAGCCGATCCACCCGAGTCACCGAAGTGTCTCGGAGTCAGTGTCCTCTCCTCAGTCAATAAAAAATACCTCTTCAACTAAAACGTAACTCCACATAAATGCCATCAAATCGCTAGATTTTCAAAAAATATTTAAACCCCCTAAGAAAAAAAAAAGTGTTACGCTTTGTCCTTTGTACTAGTGCACAAAAACCGATTTTCGATTACGGACACCCCTGTTAAATTGAATAAAAGTCCACAGGTACCTCCGAATTTATCATGTTATCCGAAGTGTCTTGTCGTACCATTCGTAGGTTCTTACAAGTACGTAAGGAATTAAAAGGAGTTAGGGGGGGTATTTGTACAGAAAAAGGGTGAAAGATGAAAGAATTATCATTCTAAACGTCCGGTTCTCTAAATTTACAAATTTCATAGCAGGTGAGGGCCTTCAATTCCAAGGAGGATTAGTTGTCAATTTCGTTAAAGTGGGTTTAAGGAGACCGTTTATTGACCGATTGAGGTTGAGGCCGCTCGCGTCTCTCTCCGACGGTAATTGAAGGACTAGAATCAACTTTACTCGAAGTTGCTTTCGTCGCGCTCGTTTACACCCTTCGTGTATCCCGCTGGATAACTTAATGATTATATTTCGAGGGACGGACCAGAGGGAGGGTTGACGAAGTAACACCTTCATGCGCATTTAGGTACCTTCTAATTCTAGACTCTCGGTGTATCGAGATTCAGAAAATATCGGTGAACCTTTTTTTAGAAAATTGGTCTTTAATACTCATTCGTCTTACAAACGACCTATTCCCTTCATTATTTATTCCGTTTTGAAAGATGTTGTAATACTTGTATTTTCTTCACACTAAATTGTGCAATGTCGTGTTTCGCGGGAAAATAAGTAAGGGAATAGCGTCTTTTCGTAAGAGGAATGAGTCATAAAGGACCATTTTCTAAAAAAAGGGGTTGTCACCATGATGTTTCTGAATTCGTTGAAAACCGAGAGTCTAGAATTTACGAAGGTCACTAAATCGCCATTGAAGGTGTTACTTCGTCACCTCTCTGTCCGTCTCAAAATATAATATTGGAAGTTAATCACAGCGGATAAGAGGGTGTGTAAACCGACACAAAGCAATTGATAAAGTTATTTTAGTCCTTCATTTACCGTCGGGATGGTGTTTTATTACACTCGAACCTCAAATCGTCAAATAAACGTCTCCTTAACCACTTTAACGGAAGATTGGAAACGTATCGTCCTATGAACTTGAGCGCTCAACCTCGGATGCAAATTTTGTAAATTTTAGAAACCGACCCGTTTAAGGGAGAATGATAATTCTTTCATCTTCACCTTTCTCTTCGTTTACAATACCCTACTCTTGTTAATTTCTTACTACTGTGAAGACTACGAGATGGGTTACGACAAGACTTGTGGGGATAACAGTCGACTAAATTCGGGTACGTCAGGATTTATTCAATTTAAAGTGTTTCCGTAGATTCGGAAAATTCGGTTTTGTGAACTTAGTACAGACGGAAAGCGTATTTTTTTTTTTTTTTCTACACACACACACACACACACACACACACACACACACACACACACACACACACACACACACACACACACACACACACACACACACACACACACACACCTTCGTATGATTTCACAGCAGGGAAAAGCTTCCTCTACAATCTTTTATTTCCTTGCTTATTTATTTCTCTTCCATCTCACTGTGCCCTTTCCCCCCCCCCAGCTTACATCCTCTGTTTAGTTTAACGATTCCTCTACTTTCCTTTTTAGAACTGTGACTTAATAACATTACTGTATTTAACCCCACAATTCAAGAAAAGAGAGAAAAAATAACATTTGCCAACATATTTTCTATCCGTAACAAAAAATATAACAGTTGTACCGGTCCACTATCCTATTTGATTGTTGCAGAATAATTAGCATAATATATTAGCTATGACAAATTAGCAAACTGTTACTTCATATATTGACTCATTTACACAATAATCCACAAAAATGTCTGCAATAGAAGAAATATATAAATCAAAAAATAGATTTTTTTAAATGCTACATTTCTGTGTCTTAGCTGAGCTTCCTTAGAGAAAGACAGACTGAACTCACACTTTGGTCAAAGCTTCCATGCCCTTGAAGACATCTTTGGGCAGCGTCTCAAGGTTGTTGTAAGCCAGACTCCTAAACAACAAAAAGAAAAGGTGATTGAGTTAGGGGTAGAGTTATTGCACTGTGTCATAGGCTTTCTATTCCTTCTGATAACTGGATTGCCTTAAGCAGAAAAAGGCTAAACTAATCAAACAAAATAAGAAGCATCCAAATGTTAGGGAGGCACAAGTCAGAGCCACATTGCCCTGACAATACTTAAGGACATGGTACGATAATGTAACAGTTGTCAAAAAGGTGAAGTGGTGAAATGGAGGAAAAAATCCATCTTTCTCAAGAGGATGAAATCTCTACCAATTAGTTAGAAACCTACCATCTGACCTGATAAGCACATTTCATTTGTAAGTGAAAAACTGAACTCTAAACCAGAAAGAGATGTGAATGAAATGAAATGTCAGCGTGATTCAACACTGCATTATTTATCTGAGACTCAGTTTTCCAGAGGGAGAAGCCATTTTGCTTTGAAAATGTGCAAAAATGCACTCTCCAAACAGATGGGGATGGGGCAAAATGGACAAGATTCCAGCCTGTACTATTTAATAATATATTAACGGTATGTGAAGTATTTAAAATGACCTCTCATAATGCATTTATTCATCAATTTAAACATAAAAGTGTGTTGACCTCTTAAACAAAGGAATGTATGCATGAAACGGGAAATGAGCAGTTCATGTGTGGCGGAATATCACTTTTTTTGAGTTGTGTATGGACAAATATAAATACTAAATCTTAGTTGGCATTTGTAGATAGAAAACACAAACCAGCACCTTAAAAGTTAACAAATTCATCCAAATGTCATCAGCCAATTAAGTGGGCGTAATCTCTGGCTATCAGTCTCATACAGATATAGGTTGGACGGGGCATGTTGCTACACCTACTGGTAGGTTCAAAAAGCCGGTCAACATCTATTCAAAAAGTTGACAAGAACACAAGATGACGACAACCTCTAGCAGCCACAATCAAGCCGGGAAGAGGAGGTTGTCAGGTCATGTATGGTATGTATTTAAAGGGCACCCAAAGAAAGGGAACCCAAAGGGGTGTTGGGTGGATGGAGTTATCAAATAAACACAGGACTTACTCATGTCATTGAATGGGCTGATAACTTTCATATCAGGTGACTTACTCTTTAGTTTCCCACAAAAAAAGGAAGTGCAAAAACTAAAAGCTGGTTTGGATTTACAAAGGATTATATGCTGGGTTAGTTCTCGGTCAGGAGCAGTGCCTACCTGGAGTCACAGCTGGTTGCCAGGAAACTTGACCTTGATATTCATCTTTGAAGAAGTCACTGCTCGGAAACTTAAACCCCCTTAAAATGTATCCCAGTTTACTTCCGTTTGTCTTTTTCTCCTTTGACAGAGCCACTAATGTTGTAACAATGACTCATATCCGTAGTTTTAAATGGTTCACCTAATTCACCTAAAGCACGGATTAATAAATGCTGATAAACTGTTATTTAATTTTGCTGCATTGCACTGCATGAGCTCAAATGTGTTAGGAACAAACTGTCTGTTTAGAAACAGATTATAGGTCACTTGGTGTGAGGTTACACTGCAGTTATATTTAGTCTTGACCTAGAGGTCAGCCCACTTTCTCAACTATCTTTAGTTTTGGCAAGGTTTGCATTTCAGGAATATTAGATCAGTCTTTGAAATACTCTGTTATAAACTGATATGTGTTCGTCCCTGTGGTGAGATTTGGATTAACAAGGTGTGCTATCTAAATACTACAAACACAGCTGCAGTACAAGCTATGCATAACTCATCACAATCACAATAGATGCCATAGAAGTCTAACAAATATAAAGTGACTCATTAGTGAAGCTATATGATGCTAAAATTAACAAAATGTGTGTAAAGACAGATATATGGAATGTATTTCTTTTTTACCTCAAAACATCTTAAAAGGGAAATATTGTCATTTTTACTCCACAACATGTATAGGACAGTTTTAGCAACGTTGCATATTTGTATTATTAATACAACATTTAAATCAATGAGTACATTTCAGTATATAGGTTTAGTTACCCTACAGCATTTAAAGTGACTAAAAGTAATTCCGTTTAACATAATAATGCATTAATAGTTAAAGTCAAGTACAAATATATATTTTATTATGAAATGGGCTATTCTGTACTTTGAGTTAGTGTTCATACTTCTAAACTTTTACTCAAGTATGATATTGATTACATTTCACTTGGCACAGAGGAATTTTACACTGTATTATTACTACTTTTACTTTAGTTGAAGCCAAGGTCTAGTTTAGCTTTTAGTTAAATACTTCCTCCACCATTGTCTAAGGATGTGTGACATCCAGATATGCACTTCAGTAACCTGATCCAGTTTCCACCTTCATCCACTAACCTTGGACATCCCCACTGGCAGCACTTCTGCCTGCCTCTGCATTTCAGACAGTGACAAAGTGATAGACACAGAGGAAGAGGAAATTGATGCACAGTTTATGTAAGGATACCATGAATACTCATATCCCCTTACCTTAGAAAATACTTAAACAAAGAATATGAAAAATGGAGAGAGAAGAAAGAAAGAAGGAACCAATAAAATAAGGAAAGTTCCCTTTGACTGGAACAAATGATACATTAAGTAAAGAAGAAAGGGGGAAGATATTTTCCAGTTTTCCAACATGGCCACCACAGAAGCAAAAATACTTACAGATGAATCAGCGATTTCAGTCCCCGGAAAGCATATGGAGATATCGATGCGATTCTGTTATTTTCAATAAATCTGTGAATGAGAATAATTGTATTAGCATTCGACAGATTAGGATTAACACTATGTAATTATCCTTTACACAAATCAAATGTATTGTACTTAAAAGTGAAACCCTTTAACGTTATACATCTCATATTCCTTTGCAATTGTGATCACAGCAGTTACTGAATTGTTGTGTAAACCTGAGCCCTGTTATAATTATACATTAAACATAGCATGAAGCAAGGATACAGATTCATGGGAAAATGACAGAATGAATTATATTTAAGAAATGCACTATATAATCAAACATGTGCTTCCAATTAGGTTGGGTTTTACATGAGGTAAGCAAACGTAATAATAGGGATAAACGTTGGAAATGAACCTCCCAATCAGTCAACATAAACAAAATAAAACTGTATGGAGGCTTTAAATTGACAGCATGCCGCCAAAATAATATGTATGTAAACATTCGTACTGTATTACAGAAAAAGGTTTCAAATTGGATTGTAAAGTTGTGATTGATTTTTATTTTTGTATTCCAGTCAGCTTTTATTAGCACAACACAAGTATGCAACTGGAGAACAGCGTGTGTATTTTACAATCCTTCACCACACCAATGCATGTCAAACTTATAAATTATAGATAAATACTTACAGATATTCAAGATGTGGTAAACCCAGGAAGGCATCCTCATCAATAAAATCAAGTGTATTCGCTGTGAACAAACTAAGAAGAAACAACAACATGTTAGAATAGTACAATCATAGGTTTCATTACAGTTTCCACATATCTCCAACAGCATATCTTTACTTTTCTGATTCACAAATCAAAGGTGGACTGGGTTGAACTTGGAAATATATTATCAGTTGGGAATACATTTTAAGATTTGGTTATTCAGTTTGTTACAGGGTATCTTTATTTACAACAAACTTTAACTGTGAAGCAGATCTTTTAGCAATTTACCCCAATGGATCTTTTAAAAAATGTCTATGATGCTAACATTGGTTTTGCCCATAACGAACATGGATATAAAAAGGTTGCTCTTTCCTCCTTCTATTACTTTGGTTTAATAGGAAGAGTCTGGGCTCCACAGTTAACTGTATTGTTGAATCAGTTTTATTTTATATGAAACCCCTTCCAGAAAAGTCTTATTACATTCCCAAACACAATGGAAAATGTTCCCTTTGACTGGGCACACAAAAAAAACAATGTACCTCATGTGTTAGGATAAAGGTTGTGATTTACTACTTATATCAGTAACTCAAAGTTCAAAACAGAGGAAAGGTCAGAGTAACTGTAAGAGACAACATCGTCTTTCAGCTTTCCTGCCCACAGTATTGAAGTTAAGATTGAATTAAATGAATAAAAGAGAAATGACTCCTACATGTTTTTCATGAAATTAATGAAAGAGGGTCATGGATTTCTCTTCCCACGTCTTTCCGAGTCACCCTTTGAACTAATGTAGGCAAAGTGTCCAAAAAGAATATACCTGTATATTGTGCACCACACTGCATCTTATTATTTGATAAACTGAAGCACTTTAAATCCAGTGGAAGAGTTTGGTTGAATAATAATTTGAAAACTGGATATCTGATTTTGTAGCGAAACTCTTCCTGTTTATTCTTTACTGCCTGCTCACACAATCCAGTGATTGATTAAGTGCTCTAATGGAGGTTAAGATGCTCCAGGTCACCTTGACAGTAAATAATGACAGAGGGGACAACACCACTTTAACTGCCGCCTAGTTAAATTCACCCTCCTTCTGTTCACCAGCCTCCATGCAAACCTAGACTGATTAAGTGTCATCTGAGCATATGGAAGAACTGGTGCCAAGAAAAATATTTTACTGAGCAAAAGTGATGCACAGTGTGCTGTTATGTGCAATAAACTGAAACCAGTGTGATTACAGAGCACAGTTAAGCCTGACCTTACTGTTCATTTGTGGGTTTGGAACAACAAATGACCCAACAGACTCTAAATATCTATAATAATTGATGTCATTTGTCAGAGAAATTGCGAGATAAACTCCATAATTATGTGTGCTGTTATGATTTTACTGTCTTTCATTTTTTTTCAAGTGCTATTTTGGGAGGGGGAAAAAAAAAGATGTTCATTATTTAAACACACACATAGCTCCTCTCTTCCCAGCCTCTGCTGTGTTTGGCTGTAGCCATGTGGTCTATTGCATAATCCTGACACCATTACAGAGAAGTCCCCTTTAAATATGCTTATCAGCCTCTAGGCTAGTCCCCCTATTGTTTGATTCTGTAAAAAACTGAGAAAGGATTAACAGACAGACAGACAGACAGGCAGGCAGGCAAACAGACAGACAGACAGGCAGACAAATAAAAAGACAAACGGATACTCACAGTAGTTGCAGAGCAGGAGTGTGAACAAAGCTTGCTCCAACGATTTCATTAAATCCAGACTTGACAAAAGATCTAAATGAATGGAAAGGGGATTTATCCAAAAGTATTAAAAAGATGAGACTTGTGTAGCCTCCACTGAAAACTGATTATTTCCAGACAATTCACAAAAAGAACAATACAATAAAGAGAGTATTGCAGGGCCACTTACAGTGAAACTACGTCGGACGGGAACGTATGAGGCACCGATCGGACATTTTCACACAGGGCATTGTCTTTGGTGCAGGTACATCCAACCGGACATCTGGGCGGCCTCACTCTCCGTCCTTCAGCAAAAAGCAGGCTGACAGCGGCGACCCAAACCAGGAGCATCCATCCCCCCTGTGCTCTGCCCGGGTATCCCATTCCTGCTGTCCCGGTCGATACTATCCCTCCAGCTCATGCGACTTCTCGGCAACAAAAAAAAACCGTAACCCCCGGATTTAAAAGTGCTTTCTAAGTTGTTTTTAAAAAAATGTATGTTTCTGTGTTGGTTAAAATGTTAGGATATGGTGTTGTTGCGCTCGGATGCAGGCTTGTGTCTATGCTTCTTGCGTCTCAATAGGAAGGCACCAGTCCAGCGGATTCGTTCTGCAAGGCGCAGGATTACCAATGCAGGACAGACGGGACATGAGAACAGTCTCAGATTTGTTTGTCATGAAAGATAATGATCTCAAATCATCTAAAAACACGCTGCCAAAGGTTGCACTTCTTATTCATTCTGCTGCTTACAAATAAGTTGTTTCACCAATGCAGCCATGAAAGGAAAACACAAATAAAAGCTTAAATTCCCGTGAGAGAAAGGAAGAAAGGAAGAGATGGAAGAGGCTGGGAGAGAGAAAGGGAGGGGGGGCCCTAGGTGCGCTTTTTTTTTTATCAGCAGTGCCAGCTATTATTTATGCGCGCCTCAGAGCCGTGCACGTTTAATGGGAAGCGGCTATTCATGAGGCTCTGTGCAAATGCACCTGCCTCACTCATTCACATGCTGAATATGTTCTTCTCTGTTTGGCATAATAATGATATGAGCTGTGAAAAGATGATGAGTTTATACCGTATGGTTCAAAATAAAGCTGGAATATTTGGCTAATTGGGTGATGCTGGCATAAATGGATGGTTAAGTATATGACAAAACACATAATACAATGCTTTATTTAATGGAAAACACATGATCCAAACCACAGCAATGAGTACATATTTCTACTTAAAAAAAAAAAAGTTTGAGTCATTCATATTCATTATGGCATTGGTTTCCCATAATCGCTTTCTCTTCAAACCCATATTGAATCCTTTGTTGCGTTCAATGGGTTGTGGAGAAGTCATGTAACACTGGACTTCTATTCCCAGACCGGGGTGAACTTTCACCCCAGTCACCCGTAATAACCCAAAGACTCAATTATAGCCCACAGAAACATTCTAATAGCATAATACCCTCTTTATTTTCCCATCTACAAATCAAACGCCCACATGCATCCTTTCTTGTCCCTCAGCGGAAATGAACAAACCACCGAGATGCCTTTGTTCCAAAACGAGAGTCAAAATCAGGCGTTGTAGCCTATTCGTCTGGGGGTTTATTTGTGTTCAATATGGCCTTGATTATTCATTTACCCATCATGTTATGTGATGATGGCTTGCCCTCCAGTTAATATACAAGAACAATGGGTGGATGGATGATGTATGGACTGTCAATACGCCAGATGAAAGAAATCAATATATGATGCCTCTTCTTGCTGGAATAACATAGAAGGACCTGACATTTCCAGAGGTGATTACTATGGGGGAATATACATTAGATTCAAAGGATCTATACAACAAATAGCACCCGTGGTCAATTTGATTGCACCTAAAAAAAACTGTGCCTATAGCCTATATCTCTTTATCATTTAGATATTGGGGCCAATGTGTTTTAGTGTGCGATTGTTACATTTGTCTGTGTATTGTTCTTGCAGTGTTTATGCTGCTCTTGTTTGCCCTTAAGAAATACATTTAATCTTAATTAGCCTTTTACTTTTACGACGTATATGTATCCTATATAATTAAATAAAAATGTGAAATAATCCCAGTTAGGAAAACAAACAAAAAGACCTACGATACAGTAACCTAGATCCATAATGTATTTTACCCAGAGATGTAAAGGGATTCCGTTTTCTGCATCTCATTCTGAAATCACAAAGTGTCCCCAATGACTCCTGCATTAATATTGAAAAAGAAACGGAGGCTGGCAGATACTTATTTTTAATCTCCTTTCAGAATAATGTATGACGTTACACCTTACGTCATCACACTGCGATTCACTGTTTCACGTCATCATATAGCGACAAACGTTTTATTTTGTAAACATTAGCAAACATTTCCTGTAGACTAAAGCAAGGACACTCATGGAAAGTCTTGTGAAGGTAACTTATCTTACAAAGCCGAAAATCCGTTTTTAATGCAAACATGTTTGGAGAAGATAGCGTTTCGTGTTTGTTGTTAGCATGCTACATTAGCCTACAGATGAGTTAGCCAGTTGCACACAGGGGTACTCTATTAATGTTCCCTGCACATTTCTACTAAATACTTTGCTAGTTACAGCTCTAAGCATATAGCAAGATTGTACTTCACTTTAGCTGCGAATTGAGTGCAATGACTAGTGACAAACCTTACCTCTCATGATGATTCCTGTGTGAATTGACTACAGAGGCAGCAGGACCCTAAAGCATCAAGTACTAAATAACACATGGCACCTTACGGATCTTCTTCTTCTTTGTGGCATTTTAAAGCGGATACATGAGTTCCTGTGTTTCCTCAGGTGCACGGAGGGGGCGGCTATGACTCCGACTTCAGTGACGATGATGGACAGGGGGAGTCCTCGGAAAGAGGCATTAAAAGGTAAGATTACATCCTTATATAGTGTCAGGAATATATACTTCAATTCATCTAAGTGTTGCTTGCCTGAACTGTGTTTAACTGGGAAACATTAGTCATATAGACTAATATACTGTGTTCATTCTACTACTTCTAGCTTGCATTGTGTCTGGTGTCGGAAAGACAACAAAATCCACTAACTTAAGCTTCTTTTGGTTGCTTTGTCAGGAAACGAGAGGATGAAATCTTACAGAAGCCATTCCAGAAAGGTCGAAACCCCCAGAAGGCTCACCGGAGTTTACACACACATGAAGTGGACAGGTACTGTGAAATTGAAGTGAAATAATAAGCATTTAGACACCTTCACTTAACTCACATTTTATTATGTTGCAGCTTTATGCTAAAAATCATCCCCCCCCCCTCTGTTCACACTTTTCCATCCATCTACATTCTAAACCTTGTAATGAGAAGTCAACAAAAAAAAAATCTGTACATTGGGTGTGACAGACTAGTTTTTCCACACTGCTGATAAATCCAATCCAATCCACTTTATTTCTATAGCACATATTAAAAACAGAGGGTTTACCAAAGTGCTTCACAGCAAACATAACATTATAATAAATTATAATATTACAATAATAGATAAAAGGCACACATAAGAAAATATCAAAGGCATACATAAGAATTAATACAAGGTACACAGAGTCTATGGACAGACAATAAAAGCATACAAATCGTTAAAACATAGCTCAAACCGACTTGAAAGCGAGGGAGAAGAGGTGGGTCTTTAGGCGGGACTTAAAAGTTTGGAGGGTGGGCGACAATTTGACATGGGGGGGGGGGGCAGGTCATTCCAGAGCCTGGGGGCTACCGCTGAGAAGGCTCGGTCTCCCCTGGTCCTTTTCTTGGTTTTAGGGACTACTAGCAGCAGCTGACCGGCCGACCTCACAGCCCTTGTGGGGGTGTACACCTTTAGGACGTCGGAGATGTACTGAGGGGCCAGCCCATTATGCGATTTAACAATAACATCTTAAAATGAACTCTAAAATGGACAGGAAGCCAGTGGAGGGAAGCCAGAATTGGTGTGATAAACCCCCCCCCCAAAGCACAAGGCTACGACCACCATGCTTCTCCGTTCGACGGGCATCGCTCAGGTTATAAATGGTGCCTGGTTTCTTCCAGGCATGACGCTTGGAATTGAGGCTAAGCAGTTCAATCTTGGTTTCATCAAACCAGAGAATCTTGTTTCTCACGGTCTAAGGTTTTCTCTGAAGAGAGGCTTCCGTCTGTCCACTCTGCCATGAAGCCCAGCTCGGTGGAGTGTTGCAGTGTTTCTTCAGAGGCAGAAATCTTTTACCTCTTTTCCCCAGATCTGTGCCTCAACACAAGCCTTTCTTCTCTAAGCTCTGCAGGCCATTCCTTCTATGTCATAACCTTTTGCTCCGATGTGCATTGCTAGCTGTGAGACCTTATATAGACAGGTTTGAGAAAATGGACTTACCACAGGTGAACGCCATCAAGGTGTAGAAATATCTTGAAGAGGATCAAGAGAAATGGCATGCACCTAAACTATATTTCAAATGTAATACCAAAGGGTCTGTGATAGTTACGTTTTTCATTTTGAATAATTTCCCCAAAATGTAATGTAACTCCTGAGTTCCCTGTGATTGTTCTCTCTTTGATCTCTGTTTCACTTTGGTTGTTCCAGACAACAGCTCTGCATTTTTTTAGCCAGCTTCCTAATACAGTTATATTTACAAGTTATAGTCCACTCTTTGATCAAGTTAACAAAATATATCATCTGGTTCATTCTGTTTTTCAGAGAGGAAGCCAGAAACAGAAGAGCCCACCTGATATCATTGAATGCTGTATCCTTTTTAAGTGTATAATTCATAGTTTTTGTGTGAAATGATAACATTAAATGTGTTACTTTCATGTTGTTCAAGTACATAGTTTTCTTTATTTAAAACGAAGGAATGCGAGACACTTTTTTTTGCCGTTCTTATTGTATAAAAATGTTAGCATTCAAAGAGAGAATGACCTTAAGCAGATGTCTCCAGTTTGAGCGACATAAGAAGTTTGTTGGTGACTACATACTTTATTATGGAGGACAGATGGCCGACTTCAAGCGCACGGCGTAAGTAATGTGTCTCACAGTCATGCTTCACTATCAGTCACCCAGCTGTCACTCTAGGCTAGGAATATGTGAACAGCAGCAGACCATTGGTTGCTCATTGTTTTCGACCAAAAGGCAGTGTTAAATTAAAAAAATTCCAAAGTAGTAAGTTTCTCTTGTATCTGCCTTCTCTTTGAATCTTTTATTTCTCTCACAGAGCCAAAGACAAAACAGATCACGATGTGCTGCGGGAGAATCATCGTTTCCTCTGGAAGGATGAGGACGAGGAAGACATGACATGGTGATCATTCATAAAAAAACTTTTAATAAAAGGCTGTTTTGATATTTGATATGCTTTGAGATATTGAGTTTTCTCTTGTATTTCTTCTCTCCAGGGAAAAAGAACTTGCCAGGAAGTATTATGACAAGCTGTTTAAAGAATACTGCATAGCTGACTTAAGCAGATACAAGGAAAACAAGGTGGGATGAAATGATCTATTGATTTAACTAATACCCAGTGTGAGCAGAAGCATAGCAGCAGTAGGAGTTTAGTTAATCTCAAACAATGTGACAGCACTTGCAGTACTGACGACAAGTGACTATTAGGAACACAGCAGCTCGACATTTTGTTGTCAAATCAGTAAAACATGAATTAAGCAGCCCGTTTCAGACAAGAAAGTAAATGACATTGTAGTGTGTTGTGTATCTCTGAGTCATGTAGACATAATCTAAATGATCACATGTGATGTGCTTCATTCAGGGTTCTTCAATTTCTTAATCGTTTTTGAAATGCTGCTTTTAGTGTTTTCCAGGTTAAGAATATGCATGGCATCGAATTTTCTCCCTGCAAAATGCTTATTTAACATAATCTGGAATTTTCCTTACACAATCGCATATGGAAAACTAAAATCAATAGCTTTTGAAAAAGAGTACATCTGTTCAACTAATGTACATTTATAGTAACAATTTAGATGAAACAGACTTTTCTACACGCTGTTAAAACCTCAGGCTCCTGTTAGTAAAAACACATTTTTCAGTCATTGTTAAATACCTGTGGAAAACAAAAAAGAAAATCTGGCTCTGGCATCTGTTTTTGAAAAGTGAATTCTGCTTTTAATAGCCTCCCGGGTAAAGTGTGGTGGTGGCAGCTGAGAAAAAAGGGTTGCATTGAGCACACCCAGAGAATAACAGGAAAGTAATGGATTAAATAGTGCGGACACCTCAGCCATCCCAGACACCGCCGCCAGGACTTGGCAAGACCAATGTTTGGGTTGTGCTCCAAAATCAGAGTAATAGTCCCACTGGTGGTGTCCTGAACAAAGATTAAAACTGCATAACTCAAACACTGATGTCCACCACCACTGAGCCATTTTAAGATGAATGTTAGGGGTATGATGTGATTTGGCAGCGGGCTCGGTCTCTAGCGTCCACTGGGCAATTCTGGTTTGAGTCCAGGCTTTTAAAAAAGGACAATATGTTAAACTCTGGGCCAGTGTACTTATGGCTTCATAACTGCAAATCGACCCTGTGCTCAAATGTATTTCCAGTCTGAAAGTGTTGAAGAGAGTCTCTGAATATTCACACCATCGGTTCACTCAAAACTTGCTACAGAAATCGCTCACACATTATTCATATTTGTATGATTATTGCATATGCAGAGAGAAGTGAATTGTTGATAAGTATGTAAATGCAGTGTGACAGCATGCAGATGAATCACACAATGTGCTATGAGATTTATGTGAAGGCAGAATCCTAACGACTAAACACAGAATACATGAAGATAATTTTCAGCAATATTTACATGAAATGTGTTAAATCAGTGGAATTGCTTTAAAAAATAAGGTTTGCTTTGAGCCAATAATTTTGTATTACTGTAGATTAATTTTGATGTAGTCCTTTCAGAGCCTGCCTGACATCAAAACTAATGACTATTCAAACACAGGACAAACACTGAGTTATCAATAGTTTCCTGAAATTCGGTTTTTACATTTTATACATCAATTTAAGGGGGTAACTTTAATTTATGCTTTATGCTTTTTTAACAGTTTGGATTTCGTTGGCGGACTGAGGAGGAAGTTGTTTCCGGCAAAGGTATGACATAACCAAACATGATCTTAATATCAAGCTTATGCTCTTCGTCATGTTTCATTTGTATGCTAACTGCTTAAACTGAATACTATGACAGTGAGCATGTAGTACATTCTGTATGGCATCAGTATTTAATATGGATTTGGGGCACATCTAAGCTTCTCCTACCAACATGCCCACACAACACTTCCTGACCCTCTCCACTAGATGGCGACAGAGATTTACAGAGCCATATACACAGCAGTACTTAACACGCAGTGGAAACTTCCTAACACAACTTTATCCACATGTACGATTATACAAATATGGTTGTTTTACTTTCATATTTATTGATTTGTCAAAATGTCCTAACAAATATTTAATATATGTGATTTGACCCTTGAGTTTGTGGCACTATTCTGCATCGATATGTGTTCATTCACGCCAAAAGGTCCCTTACACTTAACATTTTAGCTTGCTGTTTATGTCTCACACCCAAAGAGAAACCTCATTTTACCTCTGCACTTCTGAGGAAGCATACTTTGACAGTTTGGCAGCCCTTTGATGATTACTTGTGGAGGATTAGTACAACACTTCTCTGTCTCCTGCTCCTCCGTGTGACACTGACAGATATAGATAGGTTTACCTTCAGGGACAATATCAGCAACTCTCCGAGGGTGGGATGAGGTTGCGCTTCACTCCTGACCATCTCTGACGTTCCTGCAGTTGGGGCAAGTATTCTTTGACCCACCTTTTCCAGAACAAGTCCGACATGTACTGAACCTGCTTTCAGCGCCTGCGGGCATACATGTCCGCCTTTTGAAAATTTCCTGGTGGTAAAGAAGGTAAGGTTTTTAACTGCAACAGGTCGGCGACCAAAAACTACTATAATCGATTGCGGAACACCACCAAAAGCAAAAAAAACAACTGTTACAATTATGCGGCTGTCGTTGTCTGTTGTTGTTCTCAGCGACTTCTTTCCTGACCTCCGGACGATTTCACTCAGACAAGATAATCTATTAAGGCAAATTTATATTTAATCTGTAAGATGGATGGCATATTATTGGATTATACTATATGCTTTATTGTGACGTTCTCATCTAAAGCGTTTCTGTCGGAGACAAAAGGTTGTATCATCTTTCAGGTTCTTATTATTAGTCTTAATTTAAGATTTGGTTATACTTTTTGTTTGTGAGACCGACTTTTTGTTCATAGGTAATTTATATAGTAGTAACATATAGTTATGCTAGGTTTTCGCGTTCATAGATAAGACATTTGTGATACATATTCTCCACGGTTGTATATTTGTGGTATTCACGTTTGCGGTTCACAGTGGGAGGATAGAAGGGTGGTGTGTTGGATGCGTCCACTCTGTTCCTAATATTACTCAGCCGGCGGGTAGAGTTGCGTACCACTGCCTCGCGGTTCGGTTCGGGTTAGGCTAATCAATTAGCTGTTTAGGCTAGATATTAATTTTGTATCCTTCCCTACATGATTGTGTGCAAAGTACCGAGGATGTGTGGTCGGAGCATTGTAATAAATCCGAATCCATATATATTATGGCTATTCATAGTCAATCTGTGATTGGTAATTAAGTGTTTGTCCCTTCTGTACACTGCTTAATATCGGAAACCATATTAGTTCAGGTACGCGCAACGTCAAGTACGTAGACATCAGAAGGAAGAAGAAAAAGACAATTATGCTCAGTATTCCAGTCAATCCAGGTTTTCCATGGTGGTGGATTCCGCGAGTTCCAGTTTTTATTTAGGAAAACCACACAGAAAGTCAGTTTTTCCTCATGTATAACAGCCATTTCCTACAGTGTCTCCATGTAGTCGTTGAGAAAGAGGTACAATCGGAAGAACATTATCTGTCTAGAATCAAATAAGCGCGGGACACTCACAACTCTAATACGTCGCACCAGAAACACAACTTACGACATTGACTTCGTGTTTAGGCGAGAAAACAGACCTTTCCAAACGTCTTGAAAAGGGTACTGGGTCCTTAAGTCTCCACGACACAACGAGTGATACTCTTGAAAATATAGTGGACCCTACTCCAACGCGAAGTGAAGGACTGGTAGAGACTGCAAGGACGTCAGACCCCGTTCATAAGAAACTGGGTGGAAAAGGTCTTGTTCAGGCTGTACATGACTTGGACGAAGGTCGCGGACGCCGTATGTACAGGCGAAAACTTTTAAAGGACCACCATTTCTTCCATTCCAAAAATTGACGTTGTCCACTAAACCACCAGTTACGGAGGTTCAGCAATCCTAGGCATCTACGGAATCAATTAACCGGCCGATAACTACTATCGAAGACGGAGTGTATTTCTTGCCACACTTCCGGGAGAAGCAGGTCCAAAACGTGTACAGTTTCACCTCAACTCCTGAAAAGCGCGTGACTGGACTAATTGGAGAGGGTCGTGGAGGTACCACTCTCGGTCATCCCCCCAATTTTCAGGTTAAACTAAGGAAAGACTTCTTCTGTAGTAACTAGGAAACTGACTAAGGTAACAAGTTACCGACAAGAGTCGAGTGCGAGACGAGGTTACTTCACAGGGGTAATAAGTCTTGCGGGTTTGAACTGGGGCAGAAACGATATTTCGCAGACTCACCGTAATTACTTTCTCAGGCACAGGTCCACTTTCACGGTGAAGTTAACACCTAACGAGCATACCGGTAACGTCCATTTTTACTGTGGCATGGAGAGTGATCCGAAGAAGATGAGAAGTGAACTTTGCCCTGTTTTTTATAGTGAGGTTGTAATCTTTACCAAGCAGGCCTACATTGAGAAAGTCTTCCATTTAGACGGTAAACAACCCTGTAACCGATTCGTGGACAA